GTCAACCCTGAGCCGGTGAGATTTGAACCGCTGACCTGCTGATCTAGCAGTAGCCTGCAGTGCTGCTTTTAACCACTGCGCCACCTTGGCTCACATGGAGTTGGTTATTGCCCAGAGTTGATACAGGTTAGGTGGAGTGCTCAACAATGTTCTAGTTAATATGAGCATGCAAATTGTGAATTAGGTATGAATTAAGATATGGAGCATGTGCAATGCACACATTGACGAAGAACAGCATTTGTACTACGTTTACAGCAGTTCAGTAGGGCTGACTGGAGTCAACCCCCGTAGACAGTGGTGGGATTCAGCCTGTTCGCACCACTTCGGGAGAACTGGTTGTTAACATTCTGAGCAGTTTGGTGAACTGGTTGTTGGAAGAAATCATTAGGACAGAAAACTGGTTGTTAAATCATTTGAAACCCACCACTGCCTGTAGAGCAGCAGCCCCCAACCTTTTGGGCACTAGGGATCGGTTCCGTGGAGAGACGTTTTTCCATGGATAGAGGGGGCATGGTTTCATGTGCTGCCTGCGTCCAGTGGATGGGCATTCACTTGTTTGCTTGGACCAGTTGCTGACATGACACGGACCGATGCTGGTCCATGGACTGGGGGTTGGGGACCCCTCCTGTAGAGAACGCTAATCCTAAATATACTATGTCATGAGAAAGTAAAAATATATCACCAGAAATAAGTTTAATTGAAGGCTTCAGTTAAGAGAACTATATAACCTCTCATTAAGGTGGCTACTTGCAGAGAATTGGCATGATTTATTCATTTGGCTTTACTTCTACAACTTTCTTGCAATATGAGTACTTTGCCATTGTTCTTTAGGATGTCTAAGTTCATGCTAATCAGAGCGTTAAACTTGTATTGGACTGTTAATGTGCTAGAAATTAGTTCCCTCCTAATCATAAGACATTTCTATATTGGCTTTTCTAATTTGGCATTCAGTGTTTCAATGCATTTCACATGGTATGTGCCTTGGTCACATATGGCCAATGGGGCGATGACTACACTAAGACCATTATAAATAATATCTTTGAAAGGATGTATAGTACTGCTAATACTTAAATATTCTCATGTATTCCTCTTTTTTTATAGATTCCATGTCTTTGCAGTGGTGCATCATGTTTGTTATGTGGCTGTTGTCCTAACAGCAAGAATTCTACAGTTACTCGGCTCATTTATGCTTCCCTGCTTCTTCTTAGTACTTTTGTTGCATGCATCATGCTGGTACCAGGAATGGAGAAACATCTCAAAGAGGTCCTGAGGTTTTAAAATCTTGTTTATAATACACATCATTGGACACTGATTTTCTTCAATAAAGATAGAGGCACACTGAAAGTTGAAAGAAAAAAAAAGTGGAATTTATGTTGTCTTCTTAATAAGAAGAAGATCATTTTATTAGGCGCAATAAGACTCCAGACCAGACTAATTTGAAAGATCAGCATTTCAAGTTAGGAGCTATGACCAAACTAGGAAGTTATTAAACATTGAGCTCTAGATATGAGCAAACTAAGTTGATTTGGTCTGTACCAGCATTAAGTCCTGAATCAGAATCTGCAGCCAGTCAAATATTTTATCTCCTTGGAAATTTTAAACAATGGCAGCATCTTCACGGACTCGGATTAATATACTGGGAATGCTTATACTATGGGAGCATTGTTATGTGACAGCTATTTTAGGATAGGATGAGCCAGCAGATCCTGGCATGCTGGGTGCAGGTAGCCTTTACCTAAGATCATAATTGAGCTTGAATTACAGTTGTAAGCTGTTATCATTAAGTGGGTCATATTTTGTATTTTTTTACCAGTCATTAAGTAAACACAGTCATTACATCAGTGGATGCCATTAAGCAAATTCATTTTACCCACTAGGCATTTCTTTTTGCCAGAAACTGGAGGTAAACTCTGGCCAAACTTTAAATTGCAGTCCTGAGACTTATGGGATGCTGCAAATGGCCATAAAGGAGAAGTTGCTAAGTGCTTGAAATGCGATCACATGACCAGTTGGGGATTTGTACAGTGTTGTATCTTCAACATTGAATTGTAAGTAGCTTTTGGGGCCCTGTTGTAACTTCAAACTGTCACTAAGTGACCGCTTGTAAGTCGAGGACTACCTATAGATGGTCAGCTTGACAACATGTCATACCTGGAGCGGTACAAAATAACAACTTATAAACCATGGATTTTCAATCATGATCATCATCTGTAAGACTAGGATTTGAAGAAAATGAATATTGTATAATCTACTTGTATATATTGTAAATATGACAGGGTCTTATATTTTTTTGACCCATGAAATATGGCCTTGGGCTTATTAAAGGGAAGGGCTTATTGTTTTTGGGTTGCCGGGCGGCTGCTCCCTTG